TTTTACACACTCTATTTTATCCTTGTGCCACTTCTGAGTGCCGATGGTTCATGATTCGATACAGTTATCACTCTTCTTTAAAACATAACCATCGTATTAATCATTTGAAAATTTCATGCACGCAACCAATGTATCTTTTCACAATATATGAAATTTTGTTTCATGTGCCTATTATTCTATGGGTTCAATTTCTTTATTATTGAATTAAAAAAATATTTCATAGTGTGTGTTGATTGTATTTAGATATTCTTCCCTCTCCGTAGTTCCTTTAATACCTCTACCCAATTTCAAGGTCTCGCTGTCTCTCTTCATATGTGTGTGTGTGTGTGTGTGTGTGTGTGTGTAGTCAGCCACCTGAGCCTGATCAACCTATGAAGGATCCCATCCATGAAAGAGACACTTTCTCTCCCTCCCCGAAGCCTGTGGAGGGCAATACTTCCTCAAGCAGCATTGATGTTTCTTACCAACCTCCCCATGTCTGTGCTGGGATTTTGCCTGTTTTGAGCTTATGTGAGGGTTAGGGTTGTAACTCTGTGATTTCATGAGCTACTTCCCAACTCTCTGTAAATCTCTATTTCCTTGTGTTATTCCTCTGTTACTCTTAAACCATTTCTGTTTGCTATTCTGCAACAATCCCTGTGGCTTTGGAGGCAGAATTTTGATATGCCTACTTGGGGATAGGTACTATGCAGTGTAATTATCTGCACATTATTCAGTTGTGGGTCTTTGTATGATTCACCATGTGCTGCATACAGAAGCTTCACTAGTGACAATTGAGAGATTCATTAGTCTACTGGTATAACAATAAGTCATTTGGGGTCAGTTTAGTACTAAATACATTTAGCAGAGTAATAGTATTAGGCCCTGTCCTATGAACCCTAAGCCTGATAGCCATGTCAGATATGGGCTTTACCTTATGAAGGAGACCTTAAATGCAATTAGAAAGTGATTGTTAGCTCCCAAAATATTTGTGTCACTGTTGCCTGCCAGAAGAGTTGTTGCTGTAGCTCAGAGGATTCACATCTGGTAAAGCTGATGATCAGTTTTCTCTGTGGTAACATACAAAGCACCTTCCAGCACTGTGAAGACTAGTCAGTAGAGATGAAGCTTTGAAGTCAGTACCAGCTTGATTTCTCCTTTTTCCTTCTCATCCTTATGAGTGTAGTGTCTTCAGCAGCAGCATCTTGTCATCAAATTCTGGTGGTTAGAGCAGTTAGTATTGAGAATGTACGATGAACTCAAAATACTAAACATCAAAAAACATACAAGCTATTTAATACGGGGCAAGGAGCTGAAGAGGCTGAACAGGCAGTTCTCCAAAGATGAAACCCATTTAATATGGGGCAAGGAGCCTAAGAGGCAGTTCTCCAAGGATGAAATATAAATGTCTCAGATCTTCTTTTAAAATGTTGTACATCAGTAGTGTTAAGGGAAATCTAATTTAAAACCATTTTGAGATTTATTATCCACTCACCATGGACAACATCCAAAAAACCAAAGAACAAGCCAGTGTGGTGACACATGCCTTTATTCCCAGAATGAAGAGGGGGGCTGGGCACAAATTCCACCCTTGGTCCTGAGCTGTTGGTAATTGATAGGTCCTGGGAGGGAGTCAGAGTTCTTCAAGTATGTGACCTCAAGCATGTCAGCTTCTCCCCATGGATGGCCCCTACTCTAGTGTTTATGTTCAGTTCAGTGCAAATTTTATATTTGTGTAAAAAATAAACTAAAAACATAATCAAGGAACAAAATATTGTGTAGGTCGTGAAGGGATGGTTATGCGATGATGTCTAGCCATGGAGGGTAATATAGCAAAAATACTTTCTTTGAAATTCACATAAAACTAATAAAAAGTGTGGGAAAAATTTTAAAAAAGTATATCACATACCATTATGTCCTCCTCCATTTAAATGCTCACACATATGCTACACAAATTCAAATCTAAATATTGATACATGGGTGATATCTGGCTTTGTATGTAACTGTACTTTTTGTTTGTTTTCCAAATATAGTGTTAAGTGACTGAAAAAAATATTTGTGAGATATCAGTAGTGATCCCATCTAGACTGGGGCTGTCGTTCCTTGGAGACGTTGAAATGCTGCTTCAGTGTCTTTCTTTTGCACTTAATATCAACAGGTCAAGTGTTCTAAGGAATTCATGCATTTGTTCTAGATCCATTTTATTTAGCTTTCTGAACATGTATCAGTTATTCCTTAATGACAGTTTGTATTTCATTGAAGTCTCTTTTAACAACTCCTTCTCACCTGTATTTTATTAATTTGTTTTTGCTAGCACTTTTTTTGATTCCCTTGTCCTGTCTTTGGTCAGTTTTTTCAATGGATAGAGTGATGGATTTCACTTAATGTTTTATATTAAAGCAGTTTTTGTCTTTTTTTTTTTTTTTTCCTTTTCTATGGGTTATTTCTCACCATCTAATGCACTGTGTTTATCTTTTTCATTCAGGAGAAAATTTAATTCCATTTTTATGTTATTTATTTTATTCACACCTATATTTGAGGTCATGATTTATATCCATCAAATTCTTTCTTCAAAGAAGAAATTTGTAGGATTTTGAAAATTCCCATCTTGGTTATAACAATAACCCAAAATTCATTTAAATGAAATTTACTCAATAAGCAAGTATTTCCACAAACTTTCATTTTTTTCCTTATTTATTTGTAGTTTTCTTCCACTATTATTTAAAAATACAAGATCATTTTTTATTTTTTCTTAATCAGCTGAATTCATTTAGCTTGCTAATGACTGCACTCTTGGAGGCAATTTAGAGAATGCTGCACTGAGTGGGAGAGGATGGGCGCTTTTAAACATTAAGTCCAGGGCTGGAGAGATGGCTCAGTGGTTAAGAACACTGGTTGTTCTTGCAGAAGACCTGGGTTCAAATCCCAGCACCCACATGGCAGCTAACACCTCTCTGTAACTCCAGTTCCAGGGGATCCAACAGCCTCTTCTGTCATCTGCAGGCATTGCATGACATGCGCGCACTTACCTACATGCAGGCAATACACACATACACATAAATATAACAGATAAAATATTTAAGAAGAAGAAAAAAAAAGGTTAAATCCAAAAGGTAAAGTCCTTGGTAAGACAAGCAGCCACATGTTTGTTCCTGTAGGTGGGCAAGCAAGCAGTTCAGTCAAGTTTTAACACCATATGTTTTAGATGATGCTGGCTTTGCAACCCATACTGTAATCTTTGCTAGAATAATTTCTATGAAATCTGAAAAATTTTCATCCTTACATTCTCTAAGTAACAATCTTTGGCTATCATTGAAAGCTTGTTCCTCTATGAAATAATTCACATCTTGAGGGTTTTTTGCTCCAAATTTTGGGAAAATATATATTGTTTTAGCTGGTTGCTTGTTTGCCATAATTAATTCTGGGTTTCTGGATGTCATTTTCAGTAAAGTGTTTCTTGGACAGGAGATACTTCAGTCTGACTTTGAACCCATTCTTCTTGACTCTGTGTTTTAAGTGGTGACTTGAGGCTCTTTTCATTTAATATTATTGTGAGAGCATTTTCTATTCAGTGATTTTGCTGGTGTTGTGACTTAGAATCGTAGATTAGTATTAATTATCAAATATTAAATTAATATTAAAAATTAGTATTTATTAGTATTAATATTGGCCTTACATTGTTTTGTGTGTTGCTAATGGTAGAGCCCTTCTGGGGCAGGTGTGTTCATCAGTTACTCTTTACAATTGTATTCTGACTTCTGTTCCCATGAATGAGAGTATCTTTCTTCTCTCTGTATTGTGTTTGCTTCCATAAATTCTGAAGTGATGACTGGCTGTCATGAATTGGTACATTTCTTCAAATGACCTCCTTCCTCCATCTATTTTAAGAGATACATCCTCTGCAAGTCGATTTTAGTTAATATGTTCACTTTCAGTGCAACAAATGTAGTCTAATTTTTGTTGGTGCACAACCCAAATGTACATTAGTCTATGAAGGCGTCTTGTAAATGTGGTTCATTTATAAAATGGACTTCTACTCAGCGGTGAAGGAAAAGGAAACCAAGGAGCAGGTGAAGTAGATTTTCAGTGAACTGAAAGGAAGTTTCTTGAAAGAGAAGATTGTTTATGTAAGATTGCCTGGAAAGGAGACTCAGAGGGAGGAGAGAGATGGCTTCTTTTCAGTTTTTTTTTTTTTTTTTTTTTTTTGCTTAGTATTTTTCTTATGTTGCCTTTGACTTACATGTAGAGCTCTGTTAATGCTTATTTCACCTTTCTAAATGACTCTCTTGTGATTGTACATCCATTTACTTCTGTATTTTTCATATATTTTTAGTTTTGATTTCATCTCCCTCATTTACACCGTATTTTTTTTTCTTGTTTTTTATTTTATTTTTTTTGTTTTTTTCCTTTGTGTCTTTTTGAGATAGAGTCTCCCTGTAGCCTCAGCTGTCCTGTAACTCTCTATGTAGACCAGGCTGGCATTAAACTCAGAGATTCACCTCCCAAGTGCTGGGATTAAAGGTGTGCACCACCACGCCTGGCCGCATGCCATAGATTTTTATTTTTGTTTATTTGAATGTTTCTCAAAGGAGGGCTTTGTACAGAGAGGTGATGTTGGAGAACTACAGCAATCTGGTGTCTGTAGGTCTTGCTGTGTGTACGCCTGTTCTCGTCTCCCATGTGGAGAAAAGCAAAGAGCCCTGGGATGTGAAGAGGGGAGACTGTAGCCAACCAGAACTCAACTCTTAGAAGACATCAGAGGCTGTATAATGTAGAGAAACCCTACAGATGTGAAGAATGTAACAGGTCCTTTACTTCGATGTCAAGTTTCAAATTACATCAAGGAAGTCATACTGGAGAGAAACCCCACAAAAGTGAAGAATGTGGCAAGTCCTTAAACGAAATTGTATTCATGCATATTACATGTTCCTTATGTATCTGTGTGTGATTGTTTCACCTCTATTCTCTATATTAAAATGTGTTCTTTTTCCTTTGCCTGGAGAACTCAACTCTTAGAAGACATCAGAGGCTGTATAATGTAGAGAAACCCTACAGATGTGAAGAATGTGACAGGTCCTTTACTTCGATGTCAAGTTTCAAATTACATCAAGGAAATCATACTGGAGAGAAACCCCACAAAAGTGAAGAATGTGGCAAGTCCTTTAATGAAATGTCAAGGCTTAGAGTACATCAGCGAATGCATACAGGAGAGAAACCCTACAGATGTGAAGAATGTGGAAAGTCCTTTAATTGAATGTCACATCTTAGAGGACATCAGCAAATGCATAGAGGAGAGAAACCCTACAGATGTGAAGAATGTGGCAAGTCCTTTAGTCGAATGTCACATCTTCGAGTACATCAGCGAATACATACAGGAGAAAAACCTTACAGATGTGAAGAATGTGGCAAGTCCTTTAGTCAAATGGCACATCTTAGAGCACATCAGCGAATGCATACAGGAGAGAAACCATACAGATGTGAAGAATGTGGCAAGTCCTTCAGTCACTTGTCAGATCTTAGAGTGCATCAGCGAATACATACTGGAGAGAAACCCTACAGATGTGAAGAATGTGGCAAGTTCTTTAGTAAATGGTCACATTTTAGAGTACATCAGCGAATACATACTGGAGAGAAACCCTATAGTTGTGAAGAATGTGGCAAGTCCTTTAGTCACATGTCAGATCTTAGAGTACATCAGCGAATACATACTGGAGAGAAACCCTACAAATGTAAAAAATGTGGCAAGTTCTTTAGTCAAATGTCACATTTTAGAGGACATCAGCGAATGCACAAAGGAGAGAAGCTGTACAGATGTGAAGAATGTGCCAAGGCCTTTACTCATATGTCAACATTTCAATTACATCGGCAAATACATACAGGAGAGAAACCATACAACTGTGCAGAATGTGGCAAGTCCTTTAGTAGCATGTCATATATTAGAATACATCAGCGAATACATACCGGAGAGAAACCCTACAGATGCGAAGAATGTGGGAAGGCATTTAGTTGCATGTCAAGGCTTAGAAGACATCAGCAGATACATACTGGAGAGAAACCCTACAGATGTGAAGAATGTGGCAAATCCTTTCGTGAAAAGGCAAGTCTTAGAGGTCATCAGCGAATACACACTGGAGAGAAACCCTACAAATGTGAAGAATGTGGCAAGACATTTAGTCGCATGGCAAGCCTTAGAAAACATCAGCAGATACATACTGGAGAGAAACCCTATAGATGTGAAGAATGTGGCAAGTCATTTAGTGAAAAGGAAAGTCTTAGAGGTCATCAGCGAATCCACACTGGAGAGAAACCCTACAGATGTGAAGAATGTGGCAAGACATTTACTCGCATGACAAGTCTTAGAGGACATCAGCAAATACACACTGGAGAGAAACCTTACAGATGTGAAGAATGTGGCAAGACTTTTCGTAGCAAGTTAGGGCTTAGAGGACATCAGCAGAAACATACTGGAGAGAAACCCTTCAGATACAAAGAATGTGGCAAGTCCTTTAGTGAAATGTCAAGCCTTAGAGGACATCAACGAGTGTGCACTGGAGAGAAACGCTTCAAATGTGAAGAATGTGGCAAGTCCTTTAATGAAATGTCAAGTCTTAGAGGTCATCAGCGAATACATACTGGAGAGAAACCCTACAGATGTGTAGAATGTGACAAGTTCTTTAGACACATGACATCTCTTAGAGTACATCAGCGAATACATACTGGAGAGAAACCCTACAGATGTGAAGAATGTGGCACATCCTTTTGTGAAATGTCAAGTCTTAAAGTACATCAGCGAATACATACTGGAGAGAAACCCTACAATTGTGAAGAATGTGGCAAGGCCTTTAGTCGAATGTCAAGTCTTAGAATACATCAGCGAATACATACTGGAGAGAAACCTTATGGATGTGAACAATGCGGCAAGTCCTTTAAGCAAATGTCACATCTTAGAGTACATCAGCGAATACATACTGGAGAGAAACCCTATAGTTGTGAAGAATGTGGCAAGCCCTTTAGTCGAATAGCAAGTCTTAGAATACATCAGCAAATACATACTGAAGAGAAGCTCTACAGATATGAAGAATGTGCCAAGGCCTTTGCTCATATGTGAACATTTCAATTACATCAGTGAGTTCATACAGGAGAGAAACCCTACAAGTGTGAGGAATGTGTTAATTATGTTAGTGAAATGTCAATTCTTAGAGGACATCAGCAGATACGTACTGGCGAGAAAACCCTAGAGATGTGAAGAATGTGCCAAGGCCTTTAGTGAAATGTCAGATCTTAGAGTACATCATTGAATACATACTGGAGAGAAACCCTCAGATGTGAAGAATGTGGCAAGTCCTTTAGACACGTCAATTATTAGAGGACATTGGCGAATACATACTGGAGAGAAACCCTAGAGATGTGAAGAATGTGAAAAAATCCTTTACAGTGAGTTAAACTTATGAGACACATCAGAGAATTCATATCAAAGAGAATCCCTGCAAATATGAGGAATGTAAGAAGTCCTTTAAAAATATGTCTCATCTTAGGGCACATCATGTAAATCATATTTGAGAGAAATCCTACAAATGTGAAGCATGTAACAAGTCCTTTAGTCGTTTGTCAGATTTAATGTTTCATCAGAGAATTCATACTGCAAGTAACCATTCCGAAAAGAAGAATGTGACAAACTGAGAGCTCAGCACACAGAAGACAGAAAATTCACTGTAGAGAGAAACTCCACGATTGAAAAGAGAAGTACTGTACTTGTATTTCAACTCTGGATATATAAGGAACAAGGCAATTCCTTTAATCATATGTCATGGTGGCAGTTATCAAAAATTCATACTAGAGAGAGAGTTTACAGTTGTATAGAATGTGGTACATTGTTTACCCTGGGCTCAATCCTTAGAAAACAAAACAGAATCTGTAGTAGAGGGATATATCTAAAAGTCTGGAAAATATTCAGATGCTTATGTTTATATATTACAAAGCTTCATAGTGTACTGAAGGAAAACAGAATTAAGTTTAATATTGCAAAATTTCCAATCAAAATTTATTTTAATTCATATGTGTGTGAAGCTAGCAACATAAAAACTGTGAGAAAGTGTTCCCTTTCCCATACAATCTTGTTGAATGTCACAGAATCCTTATTTATTGAGAACCTACAGATAAAAATCATGTCAGCTACCATTTACAAATGGCTCCTGTCTTAGGAAACATTAGATATTTCATAGTGAACAGGAACCTCACACAATTCAAAGATTAATATCTCATTATTTACTGTCAAAGAATACACTGTGTCAATAAAGCACCTAAGTGTCAATGAATTGCTACATACTCTCTAAATAGCATGTGAATACATGAAAATGTTAACACATATATGCGACTTGGAATATCCTAAAGTGTATGAAGTAGCAGTATCTTAATTTAGATATGAAAGGGGAAAATATTTATCCAAATCTTTTTAACAGTGGAAATTCCATAATAAAATGACCAGGGCACAGTACACTCACTATAATATGAGAGTGTAGAATGTTACAGAAAATATTTTAAGAATTTATGTCAGTAATTTCTACATTTTCATCAAATGGTATATATTTTGATAGATGTAACTGTCTTATTTAGAAATATTTGAAGCCATAGGCTAATTTTACCTTCAACTAAATTTATATTTTCACTGGGCATGATGGTTCACGGTTATAGTCCCAGGACTTGGGAGGCAGAGACAGACAGATCTCTGGGAGTTCAATGCCAGGTTGGTGTTCATTCTGAGTTTGAGGTCACCCGTGGCTATAGGGAGACCCTGTCTCAGCAAAAAAAAAAAAAAAAAAAAACCCCAAAATTCATATTTTCTAATTTATAAAGGGTAATATCAAAATATATAACATTTTTTGACTCAGTTGAAGGGATATATTTTCCTTCAATGCATTAGCAATGCTTCACTAGTTCCATTTGTTCTGTGAATAATTCATGGACAAGGAAAATTCATCATAGTAGACGAATTTTTTATTTATTTTTTGATAAGTGAGAATGCATTTTAGTGTGATGTATGTTTGGCATATTTCTACCATAGGAAAAGAAAAGGAGAATCCTGAGTATCCAAAAGCAATGATTTTCAATGACTCATGGGTGAGAATAATTTGCAAAGTATGTTAATTTAGTGCTGAATAACACAATAGAAAGAATGGTTAGATATTTTCAGTATTAATTGATGTGGTTAAAAACAAAAGAACCAGACAAAAATGAAAATTTTACCCTACAAGTTTCGTGATTTTTATTTATTTATTTATTTTTTATCTTTTTGAGACAGGGTCTTCCTGAAGCCCCAGCTGTCCTGGAAGTCACTATGTAGACCAGGCTGGCCCTGAACTCACAGATTAAAGGCATCCGCCACCACGCCTGGAAAGTTTTGTGATTTTTAACATTTTACTATCCTTTTAGATTTTAGCCTAGGTCTTTGAAAATGGCAGATAGTGTTAAAAATTGAAGACACTGTCATCTAAAGTCCCAGTACTTGAGAGGCAGAGGCAGGTGGATCTCTGTGAGTTTAAGGCCAGCGTGGTCTACATAGTTCCAGGCCAGCTGGGGCTAAAGGGAGATATTGTCTGCCAAGTCAGAATACTATTGATGGAAAGAAAAAAAGTTATTATGTAAGATATCATTGTAAATTATATTTATACAAAAATGTAAATACTCAAAAACATATATTGATATATGTGTAGATAGACTCATATCTACAGGAAACTTAGCTGTGTTCCCAGTACTGTAGCTTTTTGAAGACTGTACATTATTTGTTAATTTAATATGGAAATAAATTCAGTCTCTCTTGCTTTCTAGGGATTATGTGATAATTTGTTTCAGTAGTGGCTGCATGAGAACTGATGACTCCGTACATTATCAAGGCATCACTACTATTAGTTGACAGTGTGAGTTAATAATGCCTTATGCAGAATTCATGAGTGACATCAAAATGTTGATTTGCTTCATTTATTGAGTGCACTAAGAATGCACGTCAGTGTAAAGTAGCACTGCTGGGCTTCAGTCCTCTGCTAATTCAAAACAGTCATTCCTGAATATTTGAAATGAACTATATTTTGATTCATAAGATGAATATGTGTGTTTTGGGGGTCCGAAGACTTTCCTGAATTGACCACTCAGACACTGAGTCTCAGTAAAACACAAGCGCTTTATTGGAACCAACCGCTGGGGACACAGACTTGGGAGCTGTACTGCGACCTCTGAGCTGTGAAAGTGCAGGGCTTTCAAGCATAAAAACCACAAAACGGGATTTCTATAGTAACAAAAATCAGAAGTACTAGGAAAGAGTTTGAAACAACTGAAGGGGATTTTCAGACCCTGTAACTTTTGTAGCCATTGGCTACCTGCATTGAGGCACAATGCTGTTCTTCCTCTGCCTTGGACTACAGGTTGTTCCAGGAGATGTCTTTGTTCTGTCTGACAAGGAGGGAACCTGGAGGGAGGTGGGGTACCTGTCCAGGGGATTTCCACAGTTAGGCATGGGAGGGTCCAAGGGGCACTCAGTCTAGGGGATTTTCCAAAGACAGGAAGGGGGGGTCTGGCGAAGGGTACCACCTTTGCGTGTAAGTTCACTCAATTACTAATGTCTTATTAAATTAAAATTTTAAATATTTTTGAATGTTATTAATAAAATTTTTGTGTAAAACTAAATTGAGAAAATAATCGTAAAACATAAGTATATTTATATACTCATCCATAGCTGTATTAAAATTTTAGTGTTGCTCTTTGAAAATGGTGTGTAATGCCATACAAGTTGTCTACTAATTTAAATAAATCCTGTTTCTTTCATCTAATTTATCATTTCAAAACTTTTAAACCTGCATATAAGTTGATTCTTTAAAATAAATCCAGCATGTGTTTAGTGATGTCACATGGAAATTCTTTGAAGAATCTTCCTTCCAAATAAAAACACATCTTGTTTCAGTGGATGGTAAACAAAGACTAATACAGAAAAATCTTTCAAAATTAGGTAAATCAGTGCATTAGCTTTTCTAGGGGTTCTGTTCCATGAGGACTTACTCTCAAATAATTTGCATAATCAATTTATTAGAGATTAAGTAGTGTATTAGAGACATTGTGATAAATATAATGAAGATTACCTGGCTTTGTCATTTTAGTCCCAATTTATGAATATTGATGTATTTAAAAGTTGAGACTATTTCTTTGCATCTACCCCCCACCTCTTTATGGGACAACTGAACATGGATTTGGATTTTCCTTTACATTGAAAGAAAGGTGTAAACATGTGAGACTCTGGGTAAAGTTTAAGACTAAGACAACGTAAAGGAGTGCTTATATGTATGTGCACCTTCTACACTATGTAATGAAACAGAAATTCAAAATAGTTATGTGTGAGTGAAACTCCTCTGCTGAGACAAAATACCTGAAACATGAAGTAAAGTGAAGAGGCTTTTTTGAAAATCATTGTTACAAAGTTTAGATATATATTTGTTTCTATTGATACATCTTAACAGAGAAAGAATAGGTAGGAGTCTGGCAACCATGTGGCAGGGGGACAGTTCTCATCCTGAAGGAAGGAGAGAGAGGGAGGAACAAAGATTGAGATAGAGATAGAGAAGGTCTTTCCGAGGGCTGAGGCAAAATATGTGCTTAAATATTGTACGTCAGTGACCTCTTTTCCAATCATGGCTGAATGGAGAAACAACTATGAAGTCACGGTCATGATCCAATTGCCTTTCCATAAATCTTTTTGTGAATCCTGATATCCAGAGCCCAAATATTCAACACCTGAGACTCTGGGAGTTGATTTTGTAACAATCAAATGCTCATGACTTACTTGCCAACAAAACTGGAAATCATGGAAGATAAGTTATGTGCTCTGCTCTACATGGAACACATTGTGAAATGTCCCATACCTCATGTTCTGATTTTAGGTAGTGCTAGATGCCTAAGATAAGAGGCCCTGAGTTTGATTCAGCACAGTACTTAAAAGGTCACCTATCTCAATGTTTCTGAATTTCCCTATGCAAATTTATGTGATTTACTTGTATATTATACATGTGAGAAGTTGTACATATATTATACTAGAAAATTATGTTTTCCATGACAATATCTGTGATTTCAAGTAGCACAACAGTGCTTAGTATTGAACTTGAAAATACGAACTACTCTATAGAAAACATATTAACATTCTTTAGAAGACATGCTCAGTATTTGTCCTGGTTTGTTCTTCATTGCTGTGACAAAATACTCTGACCAATACCAATTTGGGGAGGAAAGGGTTTATTTGTCTTACATCTCCCAGGTCGCAGTTAATCAGGGAGCCCAAGGTAGGAACTCAGGGCAGGAACCTGGAGGCAGGAGCTGGAGCAAAGGCCATGGAGGAATGCTGCTTACTGGCTTGCTCCCGTGGCCCCTGCTCAGCCTGCTTTCTTATGCAACATAGACCCACCTGCCCACGGGTGGCACCACCACAGTGGGCTGGGCCCTCCCACATCATTCATCAAGAAAATGCCCCTCAGGCATGGCCACAGGCCAGTCCAATAGAGGTAATTCCTCAACTGAGGCTCCCTCAACCCAGGTGTGTCAAGTTGAAACTAAATCTATCCAGCACAGTATTCTTTCAAGTGAAAAAAATCAATTTTTTCCTTAGTTTTTGTTTTTAAGGGATATCATGAAAATGTTTGATTTTTACAGGGCAATACATTTGAATAATCTTTTCAATTCCCAACTTTCTATGGATTTTTCTTCCGTTTCACCCCTAGCTCCACAGGCATCATGCCACTATTCTTTCTCTGCATTTGTTTAGGTTTACAGCTATTTATATTTTATTTTTTATTTTATGTGTATACATGTATTGCCTGCATGTAGGCAAGTACACCTATGTCGTGCAGTGCCCGCAGAGGACAGAAGAGCTTTCGGGTTCCCTGGAACTGGAGTTATGGACAGTTGTTAGCTGCCATGTGGGAGCTGGGATTCGAACCTGGGTCTTCCACAAGAACAGCCAGTGTTCTTAACCACTGAGCCATCTCTCTAGCCCCAGTTTGCAGCTATTTATAATCGCAGTTGCCCTTAAGGTCTTTGGAGTGTCCACTCACATTTCATGAATTCCACATTCTGATCATGTCCCTGACATATCTTGAATCAGATTCAATGTTCCATTCAATTAAGGAAGTTAGGTCCTTAGAAAAATGTTAATATATAACACCTGGTCACAACACTTTTCCTAAACACATATTGTATTAAACTCTGGACTGTATTTACACTGAGAGGACATAATAGGAATTGAATTCTCATTAATATGCAGTTATCCTGGAAAATATAGGAAATGTCACAGGAAGGGTGAATGTGATACAGATAAAAGTGGTGTTTTGAGACTGTCTTCAGTTCCTAAAACTGAGAAATGAAACTCTTACAGTGAAACTCAGGTATCACTAGGCAGTAGTACTGAGCAGGCCCAGTTGGAACACTTCGGTTGTATGTTCCTATTACTACTAGTCATTAGACAAGATTCTTGTTTAAGGAGTACATCTGGTCAGAGCACTGGATGTCATTTTAGCTGAATATATGTAGAGATTTAAAATTTTTAAAATTTTTTTTTTTAATTTTATGTGTATGAGTGTATTGCCTGCATGTATGTGAGTGCACCCATGTCATACAATGCCGCGGAGGTCAGAAAGGAGCTTTGGATTACCCTGGAACTGGAGTTAAGTACAGTTCGTAGTTACCACAATGCATGCCTGAGTTAGGTTTGCTGTGCTGTAGATAGTAAAAGTCATGATCACAGGGAGATTTAAGCTAAATAAACCCTCACGTCCCCAACTTGGTATTGGTCAGAGTATTTTGTCACAGCAATGGAGACACAAACTAGATTGTGCTTGCACATATGTAAGTACACCCATGTCCTGCACTGCCCATGGAGGTCAGAAGAGGGTATCAAATGCACTGGAACTGTAGTTAAGGACAATTGTTAAGTACAGCACCCCCAACGTGGGTGCTGGGAACCGAACCTGGGTTCTCTGCAAGAGCAGCCAGTGCTCTTAACCACTGAACCATCTCTGTGGTCCCCTCTTGTCTTTATGTTGCTGAATCAATCAGTCTTGCCACTCAGTAACTCAGTAATGATATTTCTAATGATGCCATTCAAAATATTGTATTCTTTCCTCATATGCACCCTGTAAGTGAAATAGTGTTTGCAGAAGGGGGGAAATGTTTGTTCCTATGTATTCAACCATTTAAGGCACTCGAGTAGTAAAGTCACAGAATTTTCTTTTAATTGAATGGTTCTTTTTCCTTTTAACTTAAAAAAGTTCTCTTAGAAAATTCTTTTAGAAAATTTTCGATATATTTGATTACACTGGTATTAATTTTACCAACCAATGAGTTTTAAAGGGCTACACAATTATTCATTGTGAGTCACTGTTATGACTAGAAATTGACAGCTGTTGCTGTGCCTTTATTCCCAGCACTAGGGAGGCAGATGCAGGCAGATCTATGTGAGATCGAGGACAGCCTGGTATATGTATGTAGATGGTTCCAGGCCAGATGGGGCTACTTAGAAAGACCCATTTCAAAAACCAGAAAAGAAAAAAGAAAAAAGACTAGGAATGCATAGGTCATTGTAAACATCCCACATGACTCTTCCCACTTAATATTTGACCTGTGTCTCAGTTTTCTGCCCTCACCAAATTTTGGGAAAATGATTGCCTCTACATTATTTCATCTATTATTGGAATGATTATAGGGGTTTTTATTGTTGCTGTTGTTGTTTGCTGTTTGTTTTTTGTCTTTTGGAGTCAGGGTGTCCCTGTAGCCCAAGCAGGCCTGGGACTCACTATGTAAGACCAGCCTTGCCTTGAACTCACAGAAGTCTGACTGCCCTGCTTCTTGAGTGCTGGGATTAAAGGTGTATGCCACCATACCTGGCTTGTTATAGGTATATTTTTTAAGTTTACCATTGAAATAGTTTTACTCACCATTTTTTTATCTCATGTGCCACTTCTGAGTGCCTATAGTAGATGATTCAATATATTGACTGTTTTTCTTTTAAAAAATATAAACATATTGCCAGGCATGGTGGCGCACGTTTTTAATCCCAGCACTTGTGAGGTAGAGGCAGGTGGAGCTCTGTGAGTTCAAGGTCAGCCTGGTCTGCATAGTGAGTTCCAGGACATCCTGGGCTCACCCCCCCCAAAAAACATATTAATCATTTGAATATTTCATGCAAGCAACAAATGTATCTTCAGAATACAGTAAATTTTGTTTTGATGTGCTTAGTATTCTATGGGTTTAATTTATATTCGTTTTCATTAAATTAAAACGTATTTCATATAGGATATGTTGATTTATTTAGATATTCTCCCCTATCTGTACCCCCTTTACTAACCCTACCGAATTTCATGTTCTCTCTGTCTCTCACTCTCTTTCCCTCTCCATGTATATACGGAGTCATTCACTGCAGCCTGGTCAACCTATGCAGAATTGCATCCATGAAAGAGACACTTTCTCCTTCCCTGAAGCATGTGGTGGCCAATACTTCCTCAAGCAGCATTGATGTTTCTTACCAACCTCCCCATGTCTATGCTGGGATTTTGCCTGTCTTGAGCTTATGTGGGGCTTGTACATGCTGTCACCAATGCTGTGATTTCATGAGTTACTTCCAAACTATCTGTAAACCTCTATTTCTTTGTGTTATTCCATTATCTGTTACTCTTAAACCATTTCTGTTTGCTATTCTGCAACAATCCCTGTGGTTTCAGAGATAGAACTTTGATATAGGTGTCCTACTTGGG